TTAATACTGGCTGTTACTGGAGGTACTTCCAGTATTACTTTCTACTTCAAGTACTTGTGTCTGCAAATTCTATACTTCGTCTTCTGCACCACCTTTCGAATTCTTTCAGTACCCTCTACAGTTGATTGCAATAACACCTACCAATTCTACCAATTATATAACAAAATATATATTTTAACACACCCCCTAGACTTGGTAGTAATTGTTGAATTATATTTATTATATAATTGTAGGCTTGGTAGGTGTTACTAAACTCTACTGTAGAGGGTACAACTCCTCCTTGTATGCCTCTCTCTCTTCTGTTCCAACCCTTTTCTCTCGTCAGCTTTCCTCTCCTAGCTCCTAGCTCCTAAACCCTTACGCCGTTTCATGGCCGCCCTTCCTTCCTAGCTACTGTAAGTTAGCCTTCGTAACATGGAATCAGAGCTGTTCGTTCCTTGTGGGCCTGCTCCTCACGCTTCCGTCGCGCTCTTCTACTCTCTCTCATGCTGCCATGGCAGCCGCGTCGTGCTGCCGCGGCCATCGCGACGCGCTGTTGTGGCATCGACTTCAAGCCAGTTGTGTTCCTCTTCCTTGCTGCCGTGGAGCTGTGCCGCCATGGAGCTGTGAAGCCGTGCCGCCGAGTCTCCGTGCCACCGTGTCGTCATGCCGCCGTGTCGCTGTGCCGCCGTGCCACTGTGCTGCCATGCCGCCGTGGCGTCGGGTCGTTAAGGTCGTACGATGGCGGACTCTGTACTCCGCTTGGACGCGGAGGGGCACGCGCTCTATTTCGCCGCCTGGCTTGTCGATCAACGCCGTCACCTCACATGTCAGCGCCAGGATGGGCACTCCCTGGCTGTGCATGTCGATGGCTTGCTTCCCCGCCCCTCCGCGCCTGATCCCCTCCCTGCTGACCCCACCACTGCTTAGCGTGAGGCCTTTTCTGCCGCTGCGCTTGCTCGCGCGATGCCGTAGCGCAGCTTGCCATTAGTTACGCTCTTCCCCTGTCTGAGCGTCCCCGCTTTACTGCAGTCGCGAACGCCAAGGAATTCTAAGATGCCGTAGTTGCACGCTAATCCACGCTCGCCTCCGCCTCTGTTGGCCGCCTGATCCTCCTAAAGTTGTTCCTTGATCTTGCTGTCTTCCCCACTGTAGCTGACCTAGCCACTCACCTTAGTGCACTAGAGGCTAGCTACCGCGCCGCTAGCACTAAGGCCCAACTTACTGCCTTCCCCCTGCCGTTGTGCGCTACCCTGTACCTCATTGCCATGCGCCTTCCGGACCGCTTAACCACTGCCCGCGTCCACTTCCTTAGTTAGCACCCAGGTGACCTTACCCTTACCGCCTTTGTTACCGCCTTGTCTGAGATAGAGACTTGCCAGTGCACTATCACTCAGTCGAGCGGTACTGCGGCAGTCCCTATCTTTCAGGGCTGTGCGCCCTCCCAGTAGACGTACACTGACATTTCTGCCGCTGTCGCCATGACAGCCCCTGCCACTGAGACCGCAGTTCCAACCTCCGCGCAGCCGCCCTGGCGTCGAGGCCGCCGTCCCAAAGGGGGGCGTGGTGGTGGGGGTGATGGAGGTGGCGGCGGGGACAGTGGGTCCGACGAGGGGACCGGAGCTAGTGCCCAGGAGCAGCAGAAGCAGCAGCCACCGCAGCAGCAGCAGCAGCCACAGCAGCAGCAGTCGTGGGCCCGCCTCCCACCGGGGTGGCCCAGGGCCTCTAGTGGTGATGGCCACGTTGGCGGCCCTCGCAGCTCGGCGATGACCAGTAGCTTCGGCGCTGGGGGCTGCCAGTACCAGCTCCAGACCAGCCCCCTCCGTGGCACTGTGTGTCGTCACCTAGTCATACACCCTCCCGGACTCGCCGCAACAGAATGGGGTCGCTGAGCGACACATCGGTTTGGTCATGGAGGTGGCTCGTACCTCCATGATCTATGTTGGTGCACCCTATTTTCTGTGGCCGTTCGCCGTTCGATACGCCGCCCACCAACTTAACCTGTGACCGCACTCCCAGCTGCCGCAGGTTTCGCCAACCCTTCTCTGGACCGGGTTCCCTGGTGACGTGTTCGCGTCTCACGTCTGGGGCTGCCTTGCTCACGTTCTTGCCTCCGGAATGGACAAGCTCACTGCCCGCACAGTCCCCTGTGTCTTCCTTGGTTTCCCCCTTGACTCGTCTAACTTGCACTTTTACCACCCACCATCTCACCGTTTGTTTCACTCACGTGACGTCAATTCCGACGAGTCTGTCTCCTTCTATCACCGCTTTCCTCACTGAGGTCTCCTGGTTTCCCCACCCCTGTTTCTGGTACCCACTTACCCGGTAGCCCCTGCTCCCCTCCCTCTCCGTCCTGCTTCGTCTGGTGTGTCTCATGTCAACTCCCCTCCCGCCGGTTGTCTCGGTCGAGGAGTCGGCTGACACTAGTGGCCCCGCAACGCCGTTCTCGTCGCCTGTTTCTCCCCCGATGTCTCTTCCTCCGCCGTTGCAACAGCCGCCGCCGTCGCCGCCGCAGCAGTAGCCACCGTCGTAGCCACCGCTGTAGTCGGAGCAATAGCAGCCGTCCGTGGGCTCTGAGGGTGCAGGCGTTGAGGAGGGTGCTAGTCTAGGGGTTACTGTTGTGGCTTGTCCCGGCGGTCTCGGGGGTGGCACTTGTTTTGGAGAGGGTTCTAGTTCTGGGGCTGCTGGAGTGGAGCGTTCCAGAGGTAGCCGTGGTGCAGCTGGAGGTTCAAGTGTCGGCGTGGAGCAGCAGCAGCAGCTGTCGCCACCGGTGTTTGCTCTTCGCCTGCTCGGCCTTCCCTACCCTGACCACCCCCCTGCGCCTTCCCCGCCGCCGCCTCCCCTGCTTGTCTATGGCCCTGAGTTTCCTCCGCCGGACTCATCCCCGGCTCGTTTCCCCACTCGTTCTCCTCCTGTTACTCCTCCTTGTCTCCTGACTCGACGCCTCCGTCCCATTTCTGCTCTCGTCTTCCATCTCGTGCTCACCCTGTCTCTCCTGTCCAGCGCTCCCACCCGATGTGGCTTCATTCCCACGCGTCTCGTCCTCCCTTCCTTCCATCGTCTCCTCCGTCGTCGCTCGTTGTCGCTCCGCTTCCTCTATCTGACTACCTTCGTGCCGCTCATCCTTTTATTCCCCGGGTCCTTGCCTCCCTCGTTACCGACTCGCCTGTTCCTGTCTCGGGTCTTGACACTCTTGTCGCTGTTGTCGCTGACTTTGCATCTACCCATCACCTTGAATACACCACAGCTCTGGTCTCTGGCCCTGCCTGCCCTCTGTCCGTCGGGGGTGCTCCTGCCCTTGGCTGTGATGTCCTAGAGGACAGGCAGTATGAGCTTGCTTTCTTGTCTGAGGCCGCTCCCCATCTCTGCTCCATGTTGCTAGTCTTTGAGGGTGACCCAGGCGCCTTTGACATCCCGACCCATTGCACTTATGCTGAGGCGACCTCGGGACCTTGGGCCTCTCAGTGGATAGCTGCCATGGAGCAAGAGATGATATCTTGGAGATCCACCGGCACCTTCGTCGACACAGTTCCCCCACCCAGGGTGAACGTAGTCGATGGCCAGTAGCTCTTCAAGGTGAAGCGCCCACCTGGAGAGCCGCCTGTATTTAAGGCGTGTTACGTGGCTAGATGCTTCAGTCAGCGTGAGGCTGTGGACTTTTTTCAGACCTTCGCTCCGACCACGAAGATGACTACTCTTCGGGCGCTGCTACACGTGGTACCACAGCGTGTCTATGAGCTACACCCTCGACTTCTCCACAATGTTTTTTCACGGCATTCTACACGAGCAGGTCTACCTGCGCCGTCCACAGAGCTTCACCGGTACCTTCCCTCCTAGGACCCAGTGGTTCCTCTGGCGCTTGGTCTACGGCCTGCGGCAGGCGCCCCGTGAGTGGCACGATACGCTGCGTGTTACTCTTGCTGACCTGCAGCTCTTCCCATCGTCTGCAGACCCCTCGCTCTTCGTTCATTCTGACCAGACCCCGCTCTACATCCTTGTCTATGTAGACGACTTGGTCTTTGCTACCGCAGACAGAGACACACTGGCCTCCGTGAAGGCTGAGCTGCTGAGGAGACACACCTGCACTGACCTTTGAGAGTTGTACCGCTACCTTGGCCTGCAGATCTTCAGGGACAGAGCAGCGTGCACCATCACCCTTGGTGCGCTAGGTCCTTTAGCGTTTCGGTCTTCAGTTCTCTTGTGCACAGCCCACACCTCTGCTAGTAGACCACATGCTCTCAGCTCCTGTTCCTGAGGAGTCAGTTGAGCCTAGTGGTCCTTACGCAGAGCTGGTGGGTTGCCTCATGTACCTGATGACTTGCACTCAGATCTCGCATACCCTCTCAGCATCCTTGCTCGTTTTGTGGTCACTGGGAGACACCGACCACAACATTGGTCGGCAGCTAAGAGGGTTTTGCATTATCTAGCAAGTACATTGGGCATGGGACTTGTGCTAGGAGGACGCAGGCCAGTGGTCCTTACAGGGCGCACAACCGCTTCGTGAGCAGACGGCACTGGGACCCTCAGGTCCTCCCAAAGCTACTGCTTTAGCTTTGGTTCGGGTGCCATCTCGTGGAGGTCCACCGCAAACCTCGACCTCAGATAGACAAGGTAATGTGAGGCGTGTCACTAAAGTAAGTGCCCACGATTAGGTGTGTAACCATAAAACACGCCCAGCTCACACAAAACTTTGCAGCCCCACACGTTGCTAGCGAGAAACGTACCCCCGGTGCATCGATTGGCCTTCTTTTTGTTACATGCGCCTGTTGCCCTAGTTTAGCATGGCGAGACACCGTTACCTGCCACTATCTCTGTGGTGTCCTTCCGAAGTACTCCCTTCATTTCTGACCTATTCCCAAAGCGGATCCGTTTCAAAATCGATTCACATTGCGTACCGTCAAACGGCTCTGCGAGAGTCGATAACGGGCAAACGATTTTCGGGGACATGCCTTGAGGAGGTCGCTGAACACTCAGCTTACATCTCTGTTCGGTGATCAGTGCAAACTTCAACCTATTCTGAGGGGTTGATAAGTACAGTAGTCCCGTTCCTGCTTGATTAGTTCTGTCTCTAACGGCACCGCTCACATAGCAGCAAGAATTTAAATGTTGTCGCTACTCCGTGAGCAGGAAACTCGTGGGTATTCCACTCAGAGTTAGATTTTGTCGTTTGCAGCAAGGCCGCACTACGCGTCTCTGAGCGACGCTGCTTCACTCAGAGTTACACGTGTCGTCAAAGTTCGTCGTCTGTCCTCAACAGATCGTTTCTATTTCACTCGGAACGTCAAGCAACCGACGGATTTCCCTGGCCAGGCGATCGTCGTAAGCGGGCATGGCACGGCATGGCGGCTCATCGTCGCCAGGTGTTCGTGCATGGTCGCCGCTGGTCGCAGCTGCAGTAGTCGCAGGAGTTGCCGTTGTCTTCCTCGTCGGATGGGAGCCTGGCAGCCTGGAGCGTTGGTGACTTGATAGGGCGTAGTAGCCGAACGTAGACCAGGCAAGTCCACTCGTCCAAGCAGGCGTTGATCTATAAAAGCCGCGTATGGGCACGTTAGTCACCAAGAGCTAGATTCTCCTCGTGAAGGCAGGCCGCGTGTAAGGTGTTCTCTCGCTACCCTCTGACGTCTCTTGGTGGGTTAATCACCAGGAGCTAGATTCTCCAGCCACGCAGGCTTTAGTTTGAGAGCCGCGATGCGTTTGGGAGGGACCACTCGTTCCTGGGGACGGCTACAGGCGGTGCAGTCCCGTCCGCAGGGAAGCACGATCTCGAGGGGAAGCGGGGCCGCGAGCAATAGAGGCGGGTGGAAGCGGCGTGGTACAGTGAGCTACGTGCTGCTGTCGCTGCTCTCCCTCGTCGCCATTAACTCGCTGCTCCGATCACCGACCTTCAGAAGCGGAATCTCCACACGTACGGGTCCCTATCTGACGCCGTTTCCCGTCCCCTTATTTAGCGGAAGCTTTTATCGCACTCCCATTGTGGGAGCCGATTCCTGTTAAGTCGCCATTCGCCCCTCTCATGCCTCGTTTTCCCAGTCCGGCTCAACAGTGCCGCGTTTTCCTCCCCTTGCCCCCTTCCTCGCATCAATCCTGTGACTGCAGAAACGGCATGGCCGAATCAGCAAGACCGGGAGGTTTCTCTGGGGAATGTGAGGGGGAAGAAGGGGGAGGGGAGGGGGAAAGGGAAGGGCGAAGGGGACGGGGTGGAGGGGGAATGTGGGGTGGAGGAGGAGCGGCGGGTGGGGGAAGGGTGGGACGTTGCGAGGGCGGCGAGGTTTGGGCGAGTTGAGGTGAAAGGGGCAGGGGCGGAGTGGGCTCTCGTCAACTGGCGCACGTGCTTCTCTGTCAAAGGTGGGGCTAGGACGGGGGAAGAGGAGGGGGCTGTGTAGAAGTAGCTGCTCCTTCTTTCCAGGTGGAAGGGGCTGAGACAATATTGCTGTGCACTGAGTAATTTGAAGCGTACTTTTTGCTTTTCTTTTCTGAGAGTAATCTAATTGCAGGCGTGCGTGCATGTGTGGATGGATGGATGTGTGTGTGTGTGTTTGTGTGCCTCTGTGTGTGCATGTGTGTGTTGGTGCAGCCTATGACCAGGCAGGACATCCCTTTGACTCAGGCTGCATGTGAGCTCCACCCACTACCCTCCTCCTCACATCACCCACTTCTTTTCCTGTCTTGTACCACAATGCGTGTTTGCAATCACATGACACAACAAGTACAAGCACTCTGATCCAGAGTAGCCGCTAAGTCTTTCACCCATGCCCCACATCCACCTTATTGCAGGCAGCGTGCATTCTTCGTGGCTCTTCTAAGGCTAGAATCCAACAGCAGCAGCAGCAGCAGCAGCAGCAGCAGTGAGGGTCGTCAAGGCGACAGTAGGGAGAAGCAGCAGCAGAGGGAGTCGAGGACGGCACGAGTGACAGAGGCGCCAGCATGGGATGATTCTCCCAAGGGGTGGGGTGACCTGAGACTGGCCGCTCAGGTCAAGTACCAACGCTCTTCGTCCTCCCACCAGGTGCCTCTCTCACCGCTTTTCCTTCCTCTCCTCTCCTCTACCTCTACCTTCTCTTGCTCGCCTACTGTTCTGTTCCGCCCAACAAATCCACACAACTCCCTCCACTCCTCACCTTCCTGCTTCCCTCTGCTATGCTGTCCCCCACAGTTCCCTGTCTTCATTGTGCTTCCAAGCGCTCCCTGTGCTCTCCGTGCTTTCTCTGCCTTTCCTGCGCCCTCTGTGCCCCCTGCGTCCCCAGGTGTGCTACAAGGCACCTGTCCCCGGCCCGTACCTGCTCTCTCTGCATCTGCTCTTCACCAACGCCTTTCAGCTGCGCACCAACCGCAACCGCGACTTCAACCAGGGCTATGCGGGGTAATGCTGGGGGGGGGGGTACCTGGTGGGACCATGGTTTGTATGGCGTGTATGGCGTCTTGTCCTTTGAGGGGCCCCAGAACCTACCTGCCTAGCATGCTGCATGACACCTCCCGCTCCTCCTTCCTGCTCTTCTTCGCCCGCCCCTTGCCCAGGTATGAGCAGGTGTTTCTCCAAGTGATCCATGTCAAGGCCCCTCCAAAGTACTACCCGCTAGTGCTGCGGTGAGTACCCTCTGAGAAGCCTCTGCTCTGCAGTGCGCTGCCTGCCTTTGTCTGCTCTGGTCTGGTCTGGCCTTGGCTGCGCTGTTTTCTCCGCTCTTCTATGTTCTGACCTGCATAGCTTCACTCCACTCTGCACTGATGCTTTCTGAGATTCTCCCATTCCTGCAACCCTCGTTGCTTTCTCCTGTTCACTCTCGCCTCTCATTCTCCATTCCTTCCTCCGTCTCTCCACGCCTATCTGCGTGTCGTCTCCCCAGGGCCAGCCTGCCCTGGTGCACGGCAGCCATGCTGCGGACGCATGGCAACGAGGGGTACTGGCTGCAGCAGAAGTGGATGCCGCATGCTTGCCGCCTGCGCACTGTCACCCCCATCGATGCCCTCTCCTGCTTCCATCGCCACAAGAACGTCCTCCTCATGGGTACATGCGCCTCATGTTTCATGGATTTTATCTCTCTAAGAGCGCCAGATTCGTGCATATCTCGGCCCTATTTGCTGGATTCTCAGATTCGTTTTGGAAGCCTGCTGGTTGCTGGTTGCTGGTTGCAGCATCTGCCTCACTCTGTGCGGCCTTCCCTCCCGTGTGCTGCCTGCAGGCGATTCTGAGATGCGGTTCTTCTATGGCTTCCTCACACACTTCCTGGTGAACCGCACCCGGGGGGCCTATGTCAGCTCCATGGGGGGAGACCTGCAGGCAAGTCCGCTGCTGCTGCTGCTGCTGCTGCTTGTGCCTGGCGTCCTCTGTCTCTCTTGTGGATTGCATTCAGTTCTCCTACGTGCTGCCATTCTCAATCCTCTACTGCCCAGTATGCTCGCCTCCAGTCGGCCTCTTTTTCGCCTACCAGCTGCATCCGCCCACCCCTCACTGCACGACACCTCTGTGCAATGCCCCCCCCCAGCAGGCCTTTCACGGGCTGCACGGTTTTCCCAAGACCACCAACTACACGGACGAAAGGGGGGAGCTCTTTCGCACGCCCGTGCTCTTCCCGCCTCCCACCTTCACCTTCTATGGGGGCCTCCACAATGGCTTCACAAGGCAGCGGTGAGATGCCACAGGGGCATCGTAGATAGGCCAACAAGCTGATCTCTAAAGCTGGCCCAAGAGCACCCACGCCCAAGAGCACCCACGCTCAAGAGCACCCACGCTTAAGAGCACCCACGCTCAAGAGCACCCACGCCCAAGAGCACCCACGCCCAAGAGCACCCATGCCCAAGAGCACCCACGCCCAACAGCACCCATGCTCAAGAGCACCCACGCCCAAGAGCACCCACGCTCAAAGAGCACCCACGGTCAAGAGCACCCACGCTCAAGAGCACCCACGTCCAAGAGCACCCATGCGCAAGAGCACCAACGCCCAAGAGCACCCACGCCCAAGAGCACCCACGCCCAAGAGAACCCACGCCCAAGAGCACTCATGCTCAAGAGCACCTACGCTGAGCACCCACGCTCAAGAGCACTCACGCGCAAGAGCACCCACATGCAACAGCACCCACGCTCAAGAGCCCTCACGCGGACGGTGGACGGTGGATGGTGGACGGCGTCCACTGTCGGGGGACGGTGGACGGCGTCCACTGGCGAGCGGTGGACGGTGGACGGTGGAACGCTGGGCAATTTTGGTCGTTGGGCGATCTTGGTCGTTAGGCGATCTTGGTCGTTAGGCGATCTTGGTCGTTGGGCGATCTTGGTCGTTGGGTGATCTTGGTCGTTGGGCGATCTTGGTCGTTGGGCGATCTTGGTCGTTGGGCGATCTTGGGGGTTGGGCGATCTTGGGCTATGGGCGATCTTGGGCGCTGGGCGATCTTGGGGGTTGGGCGATCTTGGCCGTTGGGCTCTCCTTGCGGTTTGGGCGATCTTGGGGCGATTTTGGGTGTTGGGCGATCTTGGGCGGTGGGCGATCTTGGTCGTTGGGCCATCTTGGTCGTTGGGCGATCTTGGTCGTTTGCGATCTTGGTCGTTGAGCGATCTTGTTCGTTGGGTGATCTTGGTCGTTGGGCAATCTTGGTCGCTGGGCGATCTTGGGCGTTGGACGTCTTGGGCTTTCGGCGATCTTGGGCATTGGGCGATCTTGGGCGTCGGGTGAATCTTGGTCGTTGGGCCATCTTAGTCGTTGGGCAATCTTGGTCGTTGGGCGATCTTGGTCGTTGGGCGATCTTGTTCGTTGGCCGATCTTGGTCGTTGGGCGATCTTGGTCGTTGGGCGATCTTGGGGGTTGGGCGATCCTGGCGTTGGGCAATCTTGGGCTATGGGCGATCTTGGGTGTTGGGCGATCTTGGGAGTTGGGGGATCTTGGTCGTTGGGCCATCTTGGTCGTTGGGCGATCTTGGTCGTTGGGCGATCTTGGTCGTTTGCGATCTTGGTCGTTGGGCGATCTTGGTCGTTGGGCGATCTTGGTCGTTGGGCAATCTTGGTCGTTGGGCGATCTTGGGCGTTGGGCGATCTTGGGCTTTGGGCGATCTTGGGCGTTGGGCGATCTTGGGCTTTGGGCGATCTTGGGCGTTGGGCGATCTTGGGCGTTGGGTGATCTTGGTCGTTGGGCCATCGTGGTCGTTGGGCGATCTTGGTGGTTGGGCGATCTTGGTCGTTGGGCGATCTTGGGCGTTGGGTGATCTTTGTCCATGGGCGATTTTGGTCGTTGGGCGATCTTGGTCGTTGGGAGATCTTGGTCGTTGGGAAATCTTGGTCGTTGGGAGATCTTGGACGTTGGGAAATCTTGGTCGTTGGGCGATCTTGGTCGCTGGGTGATCTTGGTCATTAAGCGATCTTGAGCGTTGGGCGATCTTGGGCGTTCGGCGGTCTTGCGGTTTGGGCGAACTTTGTCGTTGGGCGATCTTGACCGTTGGGCGATCTTGCGCGTTGGCTCAAGAGTACCCACGCTCAAGAGTTCCCACGCTCAAGAGTACCCACGGTCGAGAGTACCCACGGTCAAGAGTACCCACATCAAGTGTACCCACAGTCAAGAGTACCCATATTAAGAGTACCCACATCAAGTGTACCGACGGTCAAGAGTACCGACGGTCAAGAGTACCGACGGTCAAGAGTACCGACGGTCAAGAGTACCGACGGTCAAGAGTACCGACGGTCAAGAGTACCGACGGTCAAGAGTACTGACGGTCAAGAGTACCGACGGTCAAGAGTACCCATGCTCAAGAGTAACCACGAACAGCAGTGGGTGGCTGGCTTCGTCCAGGGGGTTGCTAGTGCCTAGCAGAGGGTGGCTAGCGCCCAGCAGATGGTGGCTGGCGTCCAGCATAGGGTGGTTGGCGTCCAGCAGAGGGTGGCTGTGACGGGCCCCTTTGGTGGGCTAGAGGAGAGACAGTTGCTTGGGTGTCTGCACTGCCCAACAGCTGTCCAGAAGCCACCTCAGTCGTTCTATCACCTATCTTCTTATCTCGTTTTTGGGCACGCATTGTTCCAGGTTCAATGTGAGCATGCGTGGGCGCACGTACAGCTTCAACCTGACGTACGCGACGCACATGGGGTCGTGCCGCGAGTTCCTGCCCGCCTGGATGTTCAACACAAGTCTCACGGGGGGCGAGGCGGTGAGCCGGGACGACCAGCCGTTCGGCCTCGTTGCGTACGGCTCATTCCTGCATGACCTCATCACGCTGGATACCACTCACAATTATGCACGAGTTGCACGTGAGTGCGGTGCTGCCTTGCTAACTTGTCTTTTCAAGGGTTGTCGTGCTGGCTAACTTGTTTTTTTGTTAGGGGTCTCTCTCAGGTCCGGCTCTCGTTGCTGACGCTCTTTGCTGTATCGTACAGTCTCTATTTTCTGTGCATGCTTCTCCTATTATCAAGTCATTGGCTCCTTGGCTTGTGATTTGCTTCCTTGCGCCTCATGCCCCTCCCAGGCTCACAGCTGCTGCCTGCTATGAGGCGGCACTTCAGGGAGCCCTCGAAGGTGACATTCTTTGGGCCGTGGGCGGCCAGGGAGGACACCAAGCCTCGCTGGCTGCTCTACAAGAGCGACAACGTGCGAGGCATGACGTTTGAAGAGGAAGCGGCCAGGTGGGTGGGTGGGCGCAAGCTCAGCATAAAATAGTCATGGGTCGTTACGCCCACACACTGACCTCTCTGTGTTGGGCCTCTGTTGCAGGGTGTTGCCAATCGAAGGCTTTGGGAACTTCATTCCACTGACACTACTAACTCTTCCTCGGCCTGACTTGACTAACGACAGCACACATTATTCATGGGTGATTACGCTTGCTATGTTGGATCTGTGGTTGACTACTGCTTGCTATGGAGAATAATTCAGTAAACATCCTGACATGTTTTATAATGGCTTCAAAGTATGCAATGCGAGCACATTTGCACTTGCAGACGGGTTCCCTTGCAGGCGAATTCGCTCCTGTACCTGCCCAATCGGAGGAGCAGGCGTGACGAAGACCCAATCCGCCTTGGCTCATCCCTCAACCTCGAGCAAGTGCAGTACTCCAATGTGAGCCAGCCATAATCGCCTAGACCACCATGGCCACTGAACTGAACCCTTCCTTGTCCACCAGTCGCGCCTTGGGCTAACCGCCGACATATCTAACGAGACGCACGGTGTATACAAAGCACCGACTGAACGTTCACCTCACGCAGCCGAGTTAGCGTGTGCCTCACGCCACCTCTGATTCACAGATTCCCTTCCTCGCCGGCGGGCCACTCAGTCGCGATAGCGTGTGGATTCATCTGCGGCCGCACGTGCACGGCATCACATCACACCCGGCTCGTAGGCAGGATACACGTGTACCACTGTCGTATCCGCCTCCCCTTCCTCCAGCATGGTGCTGGAGAGCCCTTCCACGTCAGACCAGATAAGCCGCTGGACGGTGTTGTCATCTAGCGGAATGGCTCACGCAACAGGGCGTTCGTTGTGGAGGTTCGATCGGCCTGCCAGCGATGCCTCCCCCGAATCCTCAGCACAGTCAACGCGGTCAGCGGCGATGTGCCATGCACCAAGCGCGCGAAAATACTGCGACGCTGTAGACCCTCATGGGTTCCACTGCGACAGGATTTGAACCTGGGTCGCGAGTATTGCGGCTTGCTGGATACCATGTTCTGTTGCTGGGCCGTGCTGTCCTATTTATCCGTCGAGGCTCTAGCCTGCGTCACATGGCCACTCTACAGTCACCAAGACGAGATCTCCCACTCTCGCTCTCTCGTTCGCCCGTTCTCTTGCGTTGCCCCTCTTGCAACCCTAAACTTGAACCGATGGCCCGTTCACTGGCGGCGGTACTGCGAGTGGTGAAGCCGGAGCCTCGCATGCACGCTGCTCCAGCAGCAGCAGCGTGCTGCACGCCCCGCCGTCTGCCCACGCTGCTGCTTGTGAACCCGCTGCTCCTATTGGTGGTAGTGCTGCTGCTGCTGTCAGCAGTGTCCCCGTTACACGCACAGACCCAGTCATTTCGCATCTTGACCTTCTTTAACGCGTCACAAGGTGAGAGACGGGGCTCTTTGCCTCTAGTCACGTCTCGATTCCCTGCCTAATGCCTCCTCCATCGCTCCTCCCAGTCAGCCCTTTTGTATCTCCCCTTCCCACCACATTGTCTCACACGTCCTCCTTTCTCTCCCTTAAACCTTCATATCTAAGTGCTTGAAACCCTCGGGTTTCTTCATTTCTCTCTGGCCTTCCCAACCGCCACCGTGTCTCCCTCCCCCTCCCCCCCTTTTCCGCCCGCTTCTCTTCCCCACTTCCCCCCCCCAGGCGCGGTGTTGGCGGAGGTGCAGCGCGAGTGGGGGGTGAGCTGGAGCCAGTGGGGGGAGGGGGGCGACTGCTCTCAGGCGCAGGGGCTGGCGTGTGACGCGCAGGGGAGGATAGTCAGCATGTGAGTGGCGTGCGGGCGATCTTTTCTCTGTGTGTGCGTGTGTGTGTTCCCCCTCCTCTTCTGCGTCTCGTTTACCCTTGCTCGCTCCCGCCCTCCCATAAGTTCTTCCCTCATTCCGCCCTCCCCCCTCTCCCCCCCCCCCCCACCTCCCGGCCCGCGTGACACAACGATCCCATGCGTGGCAGGTATCTGCCTGGCGCACGCCTGCAGGGGCGCGTTCCATCCGCCACTGGACGCCTCACGGCTCTCACAATGCTGTGAGTGAGCCCCCCTTGCCCCGTCTCCCATGCGCCACACGCCATGCCCATGTGCCGTGTGCCGTGTGCCGTGTGCCGTGTGCCATGTGCCATGTGTCATGTGCCGTGTGTCATGTGCCGTGTGCTCCTCCTTACCACTCCCAATGCCACCGCTCCCCTCCCCCCCCCTCTCTCTCCCTCACAGGGACCTCAGCAGCAACAGCCTAAGCGGCTCTCTCCCGTCCTCGCTGGGTCTTCTCCACCACCTCGCCTATCTGTGCGTGCTCTGACTGCATGGGTAGTTTCGTTCATTCTGGCTTGCATGTGAGTCGCCTCGTGCGTGGCATGTCTGTGCGTCCTGCCCTCCATCCAGCTTCCTTCCATCCCGTTTCTCCTGCCATCATGTTCCTCTCGCTTCGACTCTCCACCCTTCCCCCCTCCCGGCAACTTGCCGCCTCCCTGTTCACTTGGTTGCCGTGCCACTGCGTGTGGGGCAGGGATGTGAGCGACAACAACCTCAACGGCTCTCTGCCTGCGTCCCTCTCTGCCCTCTCGACCCTCTCTCACCTGTGAGCTGCATGCTGCCTGGAATCCATGTCCTCTCACCTCTCCATGTCCCATACCTTTCTCTCTTCTCCTCCTCCTCCCCCTTTCATCTCCCCCTTTCATCTCCCCTCCGCTCCTCACCTCTGCTCCTGCTTGCACTCTGCACGCCCTCTTCCTGCTCTCTCCACCCTCCATCCTGCAATCCCTTTTCACAGCCATCCCTGATATAGCCAAAGTCCTCTTGTTTTGTGCTCTCTCTCTCACAACTCCCTTGTCCCGCCCTATCTCTCGCTCTTTCCTCCCAGCAACGTGAGTTTCAACCTTCATTATCTGGGCGACAGTAACGGCATATCAGCGTCCGACCTCTCCCCCCTGCTCCGCCTCTCGTCTCTCTCTGTTCTGTGAGGCCGCTCGTCTCGTCTTCCTCTTACTCAGTTTACGGTAAGATTGAGACTTGTTGAACGTTTACAAATGAACTCAATGCGTTACCAACTCACCATACTTGTCTTGCCTTTCACATGATTTCCGTCATGCGCTTCCGTGCCTCTTTCGTGAGCGAAGGCTGTGCATAGGAGACCTCTCCATATAATCTCTGTAATTATGCATTTCAGGCATATGCCCCCCACCCCTACTTCATTACCTGGGGAAACCTCTTCACGTCCCTTTGCCCCTTCAACTGCCACCCACCCATCGCTCTACCCGCAACAAACTGCAGCGACCTGAGCTACAACCAGCTGCAAGGCCCGTTCCTCGCCTCGCTGCATCTCCTGCCCAACCTCCAGCACCTGTGAGCGCTGCTGTAACCCCCTCTGCATGTGACGCGCTTATGCCTTGAATCCCTTGCTTTAGGGCGCTGTAGGAAATGATGGGCGCTGTAGTGTAGCCCCATGTCCTTGACTCACAGGCAGGGGCTTGCCACTCACGTTTCTCTGGCACAGGGAGACCTGGGGTGGGGGGGTGGGAGTTTTCTCTGTGGCGTGTGCTCCCTCGGTGCTGCTTCCTCTCACCGTTCAGCAGCCTTTCTTCCTTGCTGGCCGGCCCTGCTATCCTGGCAGCTCCTCACATGCCCCTCCTCCCTGCTCTCGTAGATAGCGCGTCTCTCCCCTCCCCTGCTGCTCTTTTACTCCCGGGTTTGCCCCCTCCCTCCCGTTGCTGGTGGATTTCTCGTTGCAGCAATCTGTGGTGGAATCAGTTCGTGGGGCCACTCCCCACCAATCTTAGCGCGCCTCAGAACCTCACCTACCTGTGAGCAGCAAGCACAACAAGCCTCCACGCCTTGCATGCAAAGTACGATAATCTCCTTTCCATGTCAGATTCGCAAACCCGCGGGCTGTGTGTTTGTTGGCGGACACGGGGGTTGTCTTTCAGTCTGATCTCACCCCTTGCCCCAACATGAGGCGACTTTTGAGTCGACTCATAAGCCGCCTCCGCATCTCCCGCCTTCCCCCCTGTGGCCAGGGACATAAGCCTCAACATGCTCTCTGGCTCCATCCCTGCTTCCTTCGCCTCCGCACACTGTCAGTGCATCATCATACCCCATCCCACAGTCTGGATGCTGCTCTCTCCAATCTCTCTGCCCCTTGCACTCCTTGCAACCACTCGCTGATGCCCGGGTCCGACTGATTTCTTGCTGCCACTTGGTTCCCCTGTGCCTCCCCCCTGCATTTTCCCCTGAGCCTTTCCCCTGTGTTTTCCCCTTGTGCTTGTGCTGCATGCGCGCAGGAGGCTGCGGGGCATGATTTTGTTCGGGTCCACCCTGCAGGGCTCCATCCCTGCCTCCCTCTTCTCTCTCTCGCGCCTAACTTCCCTGTACGTGCTCCTTGCTGCTTGAACCTCCCATACCATATGCATGAGCTGCGGGCATCAGCATGGCTCATGGTATCGTCGTGAGGGGGAGATGCTGCTCCTGCCATGTGCTGCTGGCGCTGCTGCCATGGCACGGCACGGCGCCCACCGCACACCATGACTTGCTCCACTCCATTATGGAGCACTCCACGGTCCACCCCTCGCTCCTTTCACCCTCCACCCATTATGCCTAAACCTACCTTTAGTACGTCACACCCTCTCGCCCTTCCCGGCACCTTCCTCCTTTTATGCTCCCCTCCCACTCTTTCTCGCCCCCCTGTCTCTTGACCCTCACCCACCCACTCCCCACCCCCTTCTTCTTCCCCCCCCCTTCCCCCCTTCCTCCAGCGACCTCAGTGACAATTCTCTCTCTGGCTCCATCCCTAATGACGTCAGCAGGCTATCTCAACTTAGGCAACTGTGAGCCACCCCACCATGCTGCATGCCAAGTCCTCCCATGCCATGCTCCATGCCACGTCATCCCATATGATTCCCCTCTGTCCCATGCCATGCCACAGCCGCCTCACGTCCCTTCCTGCCCTCTTCATTCCTCTCATCCCCTCGTCCTCTCCCCCCTCATCTGCTTCCTCACCCCGCCCACCAGTCGCCTGGGGTGGAACGCCCTCTGGGGGCACGTGCCCTCTGCTGTGGGCCGCCTGCTGCTGCTTGAGGAGCTGTGAGTCGCAGAGGGGCGGTGGGGGAGGGGAGAGAGAGGGGAGGGGGGTATGGGGATGTGGGGAGGGGTGGGGATATGGACGAGGGGGTGCTTAGGTGTGTTCATTCGGATGGTTCAACGCTGCTTGGTATGTGAGGCGATATGCCTGCCGCGTGACATTGTGTTGTGCCTCTATGGCATTGTGATTTCGTGGCACGATGTCATCATCACTACATGTGACGTGCCAGTGATCTGAGTGCAACCCCCAAGTACAACCTGTCGAGCTCACCTGACCGCCTCAACGGCTCCATCCCTCCCACTCTCGGACTCCTCTCCCACCTCTCCTCTCTGTACGTAGTGCAGCCCCCTCTCCCGCCTCCCACCGGCTTTCAAAGTAATTTCTTTCCTGTCACCCTCCCCCCCCCTCTGTCACCCTCCCCCCCACCCTCTGTCACCCTCCCCCCCCCCCTCTGTCACCCTCCCCCCCCCCCTCTGTCACCCTCCCCCCCCCCCCCTCTGTCACCCTCCTCGTGCTTTGAACGTTACTTCTCCTTCCACATCCTTCTCGTTTCTGCATACAAGTTGCCTTCGATCTGTGCACTTCGAACGTTTCTCTGCTGCACTGCCCTCCCGTCTTCACTCTCTCGCCCTGCCACCCTCCCCACCCCACACCCCCCCGGCTCCCCCTTCCACCCCTGCCGTCTCTCTCTCCCTCGCCCGCAGCGAGATGGCCAACAACGACTTGGAGGGCTCAATCCCTGAGTCGCTCTGGATCCTCAAGGCCCTTGCCAAACTGTCCGCTACACGCCCCCTCCCCCCCTCTCATGCGTACTCTGCGCTTCCTAAATATACCCTCTCCGATCCTTGCCATTGGCCGCACTTCCTCCACACCGCCTCACTATTCAACTTGTTTCCAAATTCCGTCCCCCTTCGTCATCGCCTCCGCTTCCTTCTGAAATCGCCCTTCTCTAATCTCCACTTCCGTCCCCTGGTTGTTGTCTGACTGGCTGTGCCAATCCCCCTTCCCCCTCTTCCCCCTTCTCCCCCCCTCCCTCTTCTCCCCCACCCCGTCCCCCCCCGGGTTCTCCCTGCTCCTGCTAACCTGCAGCGACCTCAGCAACAACCGAATCTCGGGCTCCCTCTCCCCCGCACTAGGCTCTCTCTCCTTCCTCCAAACCATGTGAGCTGCCCCCCATGCCAGCCATCCCCGTGCCCCCATGCCAGTCAGCCATCCCCGTGCCCCCATGCCAGCCAGCCATCCCCGGGCGCTCACTCTCACGCCACTCCCGTGCCATCTGCTCTCCTTCCCTGGCGCTCCACCAGTCCTCGTTCCCTTCCTCTCCAGTCATGCCCCAAAGCCGTCCAGTCATCACCCATCCCCCATCTCTCTCTTTCTCTTTCGTCTCTCCTCCAACCTCTCGTCCCTCGCCCCATTCTTCCGTCCCCTCTCCTCGCCTCTCCTCTCACTCGCAGTCTCCTCAACAACAACTCCCTTTCGGGCCCTCTCCCTACTTCCCTGGGGGCTTTGTGGCAACTTGAGATGCTGTGAGGGCGGGGAGGGGGGGAGGGGATGGGAGGGGATGGGAGGGGAGGAGATGGGAGGGGATGGGTGGGAGAAGGTGGGCAGGGTGGGACAGGTTGAGGTGCGTACGAGGATGTGAGGGAGGGGAAGAAAAGAGTTCCTCAAGAGTCTTTCCAGTGGGTTCCAGTGGGTGGGTCAACATGGCCATGCCGTGGTCCTTGTGCTGTTGGCTGGGGCATAGCGTTCTTCTGCGATGCCACATGTGAGCTTCAAACATGCGCATGCTGCCTCCAGATTCCTCCCTCCACTCGTCCCACTCTTGCAGTTCCTTCCTCTTTTGCTCCCTCCTCCCTCCTACCCCCTCTCTCCTCCCTCATCCCTCCTCCCTCCTCCCTCCTCCCTCCTCCCTCCTCCCTCCTCCCTCCTCCCTCCTCCCTCCTCCCTCCTCCCTCCATCCATCTCCTTATTTCTTGCCCCCCTTCTACCCCGCCCCTCCTTTCCCCCCGTCACCCCCAACCAGCGATGTGGCGTACAATTCTCTCTCTCGTGTCATTTCACCTGTGCTCGGTGCTCTCCCCAACCTCGTCATTCTGTGAGCAACCACCCCACTGCCAACAACCACTCTTTCCCACTGCTTCTCGGCCCCCTTTCCGTGCCCATTTCATCTTCTTCATCCCACTCCCTCCCGTTTTTTCTCCCCCCTGCCTACTCTTTCCCTCAACCCCACCTCCCCCCACCTCCCTCCTCCCTCCTGCTGTCAGCTCCATCTGGCCCAGCAGCGACCCCCCTGGCCCCGTCTGCCCGTCGCCCGCCTCTTGGCCCATCGCTCTGCTGCCCCTCTCCCTCTTCTGCTCGCTCTGCCCCCGCTACTGCGCTGCCTGTGCGCCATCTGCAGGTGCAGTCAAGGGGAGTGGGACCTTTCGGGGCGATGGGGGAGGGCGGGTTTGAGTGGCAGAGTGGGTGCGTGTGTTTGGATGTGTTGGAACCTGCGTTGATTCGTGTGTTGGTGCATTAGCACAAGCATGGTAGTCAAAGATGCATGGATGCATGGATGTCCGAGTGTGTGATGTGTGTCTTTGACAGCAAAGCAGGTCTCGTTAGTCAACTAAGAGTATGTTCCATTCGCCTTCATCATGCACCGTCCGTCATGCCATTCCAGACCCATCCCATGACGCGCTTTACCACCACTCCATGCGCCCACTCTCCTCAGGTCCACCGGTCAACAGCCCACCTGCTTTTTACGTCTCCCCTGCCCCTCCCTCTGAAGCTGCTTTCTCTCCCTCCACCACCGCCCCTGGACCCACCAATGACTATTTCCTCTCTCCTTACGAAGACGGCATCTCTTCACCTCCCGCACCTTCCTACCCTGCTCAATCCCCCCCCCACTCCATTTCAAGCCTAACCTGCCCCCTGCTGCTCACGTCTCCACCCCCTCATCCTCCTACCCCCACCTCCGCTCCTACTCTCCCCCAGCTGCTTCCCCCTCCCCCTTCAGACGCCTCTAACCCCAACTTGCCTCCCCCTGCTGCCTCTACCACCCCTCTCACTCTCTCCCCACCCGCCCTCCACGCTTCACGAGCCCCTCCTTCCCCTGCCGCTTCTGGCCCCCCCACACTCTCTCGAGACCTGCCAGGCCCACCCAGCCCACCCAGCCCACCCGCCTCGTCCTCTTCGCTGCCATCTCCCTCTCCCACACTGCCTGTACCACCATCAGCACCGGCAGCACTGGCAGCACCAGCAGCACCGGCAGCACCGGCAGCACCGGCAGCACCGGCAGCACCAGCAGCACCACCAGCACCACCAGCACCACCAGCACCAGCAGCAGCAGCAGCAGCAGCAGTGGCAGCAAGAGCAGCAACTCTTCCATCGGCAGCAGCACAAGTGGCTGCTGCAGCAGCACCACTGTCAGCAGTGGCAGCAATGAGCGCCAATCAACTCACCTCCACTGCTGCTGCCACCTCCCCTCCTGCTGCCACCTCCCCTCCTGCTGCCACTTTCATGGATGGTAAGGCAGCTACAGCTGGCTCTGCTGTTGTCACCACTTCACCGGAGCTGCTCTGCTGCTGCTGCTGCTCCTGGCCATGTGATGTGAATGGAAGTTATGGGTGAAGAGCAACATGAATGGGGTTGGCTGAGGGAGCCATGCCCTGTACAAAGGGCTGCCTCTATTATGAATAAATGATAGGTGTGCTGGTTAGCAATGCGGCGTGTTGATACTTATTGGTGGCGTGCACGAATGGAAGGAATACGGTACAATATGGCGATACCACTTTTGATCAGTTATGGGCACTGTAACGAAGCTTATGTACAAATCAAACGGAAGTGTAACGAATTATGCTTCAAATGACTCTTCCCTGAACAAGCCCGAGGTTGGTGGATGCTGGGTAGATGTGGCTTGCCCCTAACCGAGCGAGCGACTTTGTCGTCACTCGCTCGTCGCCAGCGTCGTCATCGTCGCGTGGATCGTCGCATTGATGACTCGCGCTGCTGAACATGGGACAACCTTCCCTTCCCTTCCCTCCCACTCGCCTGCTACTGTACTGTCTCCCAGCACAGAACAACCACTGGACTGTACACTTCTACAATGTACAGAACCGTTGTACACCCAACCAACATTCTCTCCCCGAGCCGAGTCTCGTTCTCTCATCACAACTCATTCTGGCGTACAGTCCTGCCATGTGGCGTTCTTCTGTCTGCTCTGCTCTGATGGATGGTTTCCGTCACCCCTTCTGTCTGGTGCGGAGTCACGGATTCACGGCCTTGTTGGACGATTGACCATTCCTCGTGCAAGGCGCCTAGTCCGGTGCACGCTTGTTGCTGCTAATGCACAGTCCACTTTCGTCGTCTCTTCTCACGCTCGGCATGACTCGTGCTGCGAGATTACTCGTCCAACGAGTTTCGTGACACTACACTTCATCGGGATCTAAATTAATTATTCTAGAGCTGGATGATTAGCCAGCGTCCATGTCCATATACGCGTCGCCGTACGACGCGTCCGACGATGGCGGCATGCCGGACGAGCTTCCGCGCACCATCAGTCTCGAGCGGTCCTTCGCTGCTCTCTACGGCTTGCAGAACACCCACCAGCAGCCGCAGCCGCAGCAGCAGCAGCAGAGGAAGTTCCGCGGATGGCCCAGGATGGGGTCCTTCTTCGGCTCCTCCAACTCCAATGCATCCACTGAAGCCTCGCGCCGAGGCTCCCCTGCAGGTTCGGCAGCGCAGGCTCGGGAAGCGATCCCGCCGCCGTCTCTGCTGCGAACCGTGTCGCTTCCCAATCGCGCTGCTGCACTGAAAGCACAGCAGCAGCAGCAGCAGCTACAACAACAGCAGCAGCAGCCGGCGCGAAGGACGGTGCGATCGGCGGAGGAGGAGGAGCGAGAGAGACAGCGACAGATCGAAGAGTTCGGCACTCCTCTCGCTGACGACGTCCCGCCCCCCCCGCCGGTACGCACCCTTCATTACCTCTCATTCCCACCGGTACGAACCACTCCGTACCACCCATCCCCGCCGGTACGCACCACTCCGTACCACCCATCCCCCGCCGGTTCGAGACTCTAAGGGAGCAACCCAAGCACGCACCTGTGCACCCGAGAGAGCTTCTCTCCAGCATCCGCGTTGCGTCATCGCACCCGCTCGTCCCCCTGACCATGCCACTGCCTCGTGCGCCCCCCTCTTTCCCCCCCTCACCACTCCCGCCCGCCTCTCTCCTCTCCCCCCCGCCTTTCCCCGCAGGGTTACGAGTACGGCGCGGACCTCTCTCCGGATTCTTCCTGCTCTCCCCCCCTCGCCGTAGCAGCGCCGCCCTCGCCGTCCGACGCGGCGGAGGGCCAAGAGTACGCGGGGGAGGCGGGAGTAGGGTTCGACGGCGGTAGCAGCAACTGGGGAGGAGGTCAGTATGAGGCGGATGGCGCAGCAGCAGGAGGAGGGGGCCCGGCGGAGTATCGCCCGCGGGCAGTGCGCGAATTTAGGCGCACGACGTCGTCGCCCGTGCCCAAGTGCCCGCCTGCTTCCGCGCCTGCGAGTGCGGCGGGCGCGAGAGACCGCCGCCTGCCGGGGAGCTTTGGCGGGGCGACGTTCAACGGTCCCTTCAGCAGCGGGGGGGGTGCAGGGGGCGCAGGGGGCGCAAGAAGCATGGGCAGCGGCGGCAGCAGCATCGGTAGCGCCAGTGGCTCCAGGGGGGACGTTGAAGTGCGCTTTGGCGGCGGGGGCTTGCCTGCTGTCAGCGCCATCGGCGGTAGCGCTGCCCCCATGGGGAGTCCGTCCCGCGCCTCTGCGCCGTTTGCTGCGCCTCCCGCCGCCAGCACCAAGCCGCCCGCCAGAGCGGGGTTTGGGCGCAGCACGAGTGTCACGCAGCCGCAGGGGAATGCCGGGGACCCCGCTGCTGCTGGCGCAGCGGGCGGCGCTGGCGGCGGCGGGGGTGGTGGGGGGGGAGGGCGGAGGGCGTTCCGCCGTGCAATATCCATGGAGCTGCGGCCGCGCATGCGCACCAACAGGCCGCCGCTTGTCCTCAACCCGCTGGACGACTCCCCCAGAGCCAGCAGCGGCGCGGGCGCATTCCCCCGGCCCCCCGTTCCATGGGCAGCAGCGGACGACCCTTGCTCCCCCTCCGCTCCCCTCCCCGCCCCCCACAAGCAGCCCCATCCATCCCTGCCCCATGCCAATGGCCCCTCCCGCCCGCCCATGCCCTGGCTTCCCGCTGACGACCCGTCCCCCCTCTCCGCCTCGTCGTCCCCCTTCGGCCGCCCACCCTCCAGCGGCAACCCCAGCGCCCGCGGGTGGGCGGCGTGGACGCAGGCAGATGAAGCCTCCCCCAGAGCCGCTTTCGCCCCTCCCTACTTCCGCTCCTCCTCGCTCGGAGGCCCCTCCTCCTCCTCCTTGCGCACCCGAGAACTGCCCCCGCCCGCCCCCCCACACGGCGCACACCTGAGCGCACATGCTGGGGCAGGCGCGTGGGGCGGGGCAGGGGGAGGGGGAATGGGAGCGGCGGTGGGCGGAGGGTACGAGGCGGCATCCCCCGGCTCCCAGCGGTCGCTGAGTCCCGACTATGCGGAGCAGAGCAAGGTGAGCGCAGGGCGAAGAGGGGCAGGGGGAGGTGAGCGCAGGGCGAAGAGGGGCAGGGGGAGGTGAGCGCAGGGCGAAGAGGGGCAGGGGGAGGAGAGCGGAGGGCGAAGAGGGGCAGGGGGAGGTGAGCGCAGGGCGAAGCGGGGCAGGGGGAGGTGAGCGCAGGGCGAAGAGGGGCAGGGGGAGGTGAGCGCAGGGCGAAGAGGGGCAGGGGGAGGTGAGCGGAGGGCGAAGAGGGGCAGGGGTAGGTGAGCGGAGGGCGAAGAGGGGCAGGGCAGGTTGGCAGGTGGAGAGGCGGAATGGCTTGTCTGAGAGCGTTTGCGTTTTGACAGGCGCTGGTTTGAATGGTCTTGGTTTCTTCTGCTTGTTGCTCCCTCTGAAACTCCTCCCTCTCTCCATCCGCCCTTTCCTTGCCATCAGGGGTCGCTGGGCCTGGTGCAGGAGGAGAGGGAGGAGGCGTACGGGGGAGGGGTGAGGGAGGGCGTGAGAGGGAGAGGGAGGAACAGAGAGGAGTATGGCAGTGGGGGGAGGGGCAGCAGAGAGCCGAATGGAGAGAGGCGCGCAGTGAGGGGCTGGATGCCAGAGAGGGGGGGCGGCAGGGACAGGGGGGGAGGGAGGGAGAGGTATGGGGGGAGTGACGGTAGATGCAGGAGGGATGCAGAGAGCGAGAGTGGGAGTGAGAGTGGGAGTGATAGTGGGAGTGGTAGTGATAGTGAGAGTGGGTCAGGTAGCGAGAGTGAAGGGGACATGGGTGGGCGGAGAGGGCATCAGGTGCTTGCAAGTGTGCGGGGAGGGGCACGGATGGTGGGGGAGGGGAGGGGGAGAGTTGAGGGGAGAGGGAGGTTCGAGGGGCGGGGGAGAGTGGAGAGAAGAGGGTGTTGGGAGGGGCGGGGGAGGGCACAGCAAGGCACAGAGGCCAGCATGGGTGTGGGCAGAGATGGGATGGAGGTTGGGGCTGGGCGTGGGGTGGAGGCGGGAGGGGGCGGGGCGTGGGAGGGTGGGCGGTTGGAGGAAGCGGAGGAGAGTCCCCGCGAGGCCACCATGCGGTGCCGGGGGCCCTCCATGCATGCGCTGCTGCGCCGCTCCTCCCACTCGCGCCACCGCAGCCTCGACGCCTCCTCCTCCTCCGCCTCGCCCTCCTGCTCCCCCGTGCCCCTCGCCCGCCCCGTCTGCCGCCCCGGCCCCCCTGCCTCCGTGCGCAGCCCTGCCAGGGCGGGGTGGGGGAGAGCCGCGGGGGGGGCGGACCGGGTGGAGGGGTCGCCTCTGAGGGAGGTGGGTGGCGGAGGGGGCGGGGAGGAGGGAGTCACTCTGGTGCGGGCGAGCACTCTGCATGAGAGCAGCAGCAGCAGCAGGCGCGGTGGCAACAGTGCCTGGCATGCAGACAGGCAAGCAGAGGCAGGGGGGAATGGCAGTGGGGACAGCGCTGGTGCTGGCAGTGGTGTGGGCAGTGGACATGGCGGAGGGGGCGGGGTTGAGACGGGCGTGCGGGAGGTGAGGAAGGGGCTGGTGCGGTCGGCCAGTGGGGTGGAGGCGAGGCACTGCAGGAACCGCAGTGCGGGAGGGGTGATGAGCATTGGAGCCACCGGCAGCATTGGCGTCGCTGCCAGCATGGGCGCTGGGGCGGTTGAGAGCGCCCAACGACTCGGTGCAGCAGCAGCAGCGCCGCCACCAGCAGCAGCAGGGCCGATGCGGGCGGATCCCCGCAACCCTCGAAGGGGTCTGGTGCGGTCGGCGAGTGGAGTGGAGGCAAGGCACAGGCGGGAGAGGAGTGGAGGGGGCAGCAGCAGTGGCAGTGCGGCAGGGGCAGGCATGGGCTGGCAGCAGGGTGGCATGGGTTGGGGAGAGAATGGTGGAGCGGTGGAGAAGGAGGCGGGTGATCCCAGGAGGGTTCTGGTGCGGGCGAGCAGCGGGGTGGACCCACGGCACAGGAGGCAGAGGAGCAGTGGCAGTGGCAGCACCGGCACTGCTGGAAGCCTTCTCAGCACCTTCTTGTCGCGGCCAGGAGGAGCAGTGGATGCGGGCGGGGCGGCAGACCGGGATGCAGGGGAGGGCAGGGCGGCGGCAAGCAAGGTGGGGGCGTTTGGGTTGGTGCGCATGGCGACCATGGAGAGGCGGCGCGCCAAAGGGCGAAGCCAATCTGTGGTGGATGAAAAGATGGCACAGAGCCCTTTCCAAGATCTCTCTTGGGATTAGACTATTTTATTTCTTCCCTGATCGGGAATGCATGTGATGGTGTAAGTTACGGAAAGCTTTGAAGCCCCGACACGTTTTTATTTTAATGGGGATGCCTGATCAAGAGCTGATATCTAGCTTTACAGGGAATTACCGAGTTTTTAACCAAGAGAACTTGCAAGTGTGATGTCACGTATTCATGCTTCAGGTTTGCCGTATAGGTATGTTGAAAGCGTTATTATAAATTGTTCCACCTTGTTGTAGGCATGAGGTTCACCATCACCAATAATGTTTGCTACGGTTTTTCTGGCTGAGCGATCTGTGCCTGGTCGATGGTTTGGTTCGGCACCCCGAGTTTGGCCGACCTCTGGCAAGGCGACGTTGCTTCAAAATCGCCAATCTGATGCATTGACGGACAAGTACTGTCAGCAGCTCATCGGGAGCGGGAATCGTGAGACTCCCGCCATTATATATACGAGACGCATGCCACAGTTTGGGCAGGGCAAGTTACAGGGCATTTTATCCCAAAATTCTACCCCAAAAAACTTTGATGAAGTAATGCCCTACTCTAGAATATGGTGAAGAAATCACTAGAATTTTGTGAAATCACAGGTGATTGGTCGGATTTGTCATGTTGATCCACTGTTCGGTGGGTTTCGGTTTCGGTTGTACATACCGTGATAGTGAAACACAGGAACGTAGGAGAGTTATGTCAGCCTAGTTTTGCTCACAACACTCGGCGAACCGCAGAAAATTATTGCCCTCGCCGCCTTCTTTCGCACTCCGCACCGCCCTGCTAAACTCCTCGAGAGCACCAGGAACCACCAATGCATCTCGTGCGCGAACTCTGCTTCCGACCGCGAAGCGGCCGCCCCGACCATGGTATAATCGCGCTCTCCAGTTCCCAGCCAATCCCTAAGCGTCAACCAGACGGTAGAGTTCGGTTCTCTGTGCTGCTGGAGCCTCCTGCGTGGCAGGAGAAAATCCCATCTGCCCAGAAACTGTCCTGATTGGCTAGGCTTGCGCGACCAACGCCTTGTTCTGGCAGTTTCGTGCAGGCATCTCAATTTCTTGCCGTTTGTGTCCGTCAACATGGGTCCAACGTTGTGCTTGTGCGGTTCGGTCAGGATTCCCCCTCCGCCACGCCTTTCGGTGGCTTCCGCTAACTCCCCAGCCTCCGCCTCGGAACGTTGTCCGCGTTCACTTGAGGTGCCTGCCTCGTCTTGATTTCATACAATCCCCCCCGTCCTCCCCACCTTCCGCTTGCGTGAACGCGTTACCCAACCCGTTGGCAGCCCGCCTAGCTTTCCGCCAGCCCAAGCCTGCTCGCTCACAGCTGTGATCGCGCTTCAACCCGTCCCCAGCCTCCCCACCCCCCGCTCCCCGCACCCTCCCCCTCCCTCTTTCCCCCCTCCGCCCCCCTCCCCCCCCTCCCCACCACAATCCGCCCCACACTTGTCCAGCACGGTTCACCACAGCACTGGTTCTTTCCTCAACACCACTGACAGCCCCCCTGTTCCCCCAAACCCACCTTCCTGCTGGTCGCCTTCCCATAATTCATTTCTTTCGAGATTATCAGCCCCGAGGTAATCCTTAGGCATCATCCCTTGATTTCAGCTTGCCAGGATACTGGGTTGGGATTGTTTTCGGACTCCCACGCGTTACGCGTAATCGTGGCAGCTACGGCTCTCTACTTCTGGCTAACAGGGATCCTCCGTGTCGCCGATAGTAGGAGACCCCTCACCAGAAATTTCAGATCTCGTTTTCCGAGTCATGGAATTAGTACCAGACCTACTTGTCCCAGTTCCTAAGACAGAAGTGTCCCGACCTGTTTCTTAACTGTTCCAGAGTGCTGTTGCCACTTAAGTAAAATCATTCGTTCGTTCAACCGTACGTCGTGCGTTGCTGGACCTGGAAGCACGATTCAGACATAAAGCCGATCTCCACTCTCGCAAGATGCAGTTAATAGAAGGCGCATTGTTGACGGATGCGGTCTCCTCGTGCGCATCGGCTTGGTGGTGTTCCTCGTGCTCATCTCTCCTCTGCCATCCCTCTCTCTTCCTCCTCCAAATACAAAGCTCCCTTATCCTCATCGGCCTCGGCATCGCGTGGCTATGGGCCAGCCAGTCGCGCATCAAAGAGACCAGACGGATTCGATCAGCGCAAAAAACGGGGAACCCCTTCGCCTTCGTCGACGTGGAGATGTCGCGGTTGTCGCACGACGTGCAGCGGCAATTACCGAAGGTGTCGGTGGTGCTGGCGGTGAAAGGATCGATAGGGGACGCCGGCATGGATAACTGGCGGTCGCAGCTGGTGACGCTGTACGGCGGCGCGGTGGAGTACATCTTCTGCGTGGAGAGCGAGGACGATCCCGCGTATTTCGCCGTGCAGAGCTTGCAAAAAGAGATGAAGGGCGTCGTCGATATCCGCTTAGTCGTCGCCGGCCTAGCGACGGCGTGTTCCCAACAGATCCACAACCAACTAGCGGGCGCTAAGGTCGCGAGCGAGGAGTCCAAGTACCTGCTATTTTTGGATGACGACATTCAGTGCCATCCAGGGACATTGGGGTCGCTGGTGAAAGCCATGGAGACGCGGCCAGAGGTCTTTTGCTGCACAGGCTACTCCTTCGACATCCCGTCGACGCCTAGCGTCTCCGCGTATGCCGCGATGGCGTACCGCCTGCCGCTGCTCATCGGCATGTCATCTGGTGGGCCGGCGTTCTTCGTGTGGGGCGGCTGCATCATGCTACGGCTAGCGGATCTGCGCGCGGACCGCAACGGCATGGCGAGCGCGCTTCAGCGCAACGGCTACAGCAACGATCTGATACTGACGTCCGTGGCGGGAGTGCACGGGTGCAAGGTCTGGTGCCCTCCCACCGCCATTTTCCCTGGGAGAATGTCCGGCGCGTGGACCTTCCGCCGGTACTGGAACTACGTGCGACGGCAGATATTCGCGTTGACCACGTACTGCTCGTCGTATGCCTACCGCACCAACCACGTGGGCTGGTTCTTCTACACGTACGCTTCCCTCGCCGTCACCATCCCCCTCATCCCCTCCACCATCCACCTCCTCCTCTTCCTCCTCTCCCTCGCCCGCTCCGCCCTCCTCTCCTCCCGGCCGTTACTGTTACAATCCGGAGTTACCGACGTGGCGACGATCGCAGCCCTCGCGTCGAGCGGGTTGGTGGGCGGCGGGCGGCCGGTGGTGGTGGACGGGCGAACGCTGTGGTGGGAATGGATAGTGTCGCGCTCCTTTTGCGCCACGGGCCTGGCGTTCTCGCTGGGCCACTGGGCGTGCATCGGCATCGCGGCGCTGCTAGGCATGCGCCTGTTCCACGCCGTCATCACCCTCTGCAATCTGCTATCCCCGGAAAAGCCGCAGATCCGGTTAAGCAAGCTGAGCCTGTCGCTTGGCGTGCTGGGCATGCTGATGAACCTGGCGCTGCTGCCAGTCATCGCAGTCTACACCTACCTACAGCCTGCCATCACGTGGGCTGGCATCAAGTACGTGCGAAAATCGGGGCTCGTCGCGAAAGTTCGGCATCCGACGCCGCAGCTGGCCCCTCCGCCGATAGAGTCGCGAATGGTGTCGCAGAAGTTGCTGGACTTGGAGAGTGCAGCCGGCGGGCTGATTGGCGACGAGTTTGACGGCGGGTGCTGGAGCGCGCCGCACGAGAAGCGCGATTGGCTGGTGGAGGTGTTGGCGCGGGTACCGTGGAGCAAGGGATGGGCGGAGAACATGGAGATGCTGTGCAGATCGCTGCCGTCCATTCGCATGGCACGAAGTGTGAGCCCCAAATTGAAGAAGTCCGGTTGAGAACGAATAAGCCAAGGGAGAGGGGAAGAATTGGGGGAACTCGCGGTGGGGAATTAACTCTGGAGCGCGAGCTTTGAAGTCCACTGGCGAGGGTAGCGTTGGGTGCGAGCGTGTAGGCGCAGCTAGTGGAACATTGGACGATGAGCTGGCGTTACTCCTTACTCCCCCGCATCTTCCGATCATGATCCCCTTCCCCCCTCCCCTCCACCGCTCCATCATCATCTACCTGGAATCAAGCCACAACCGAGTGTGTACAGCACGGTCGCAAGTAGAGTAGAGAGGGAGAAGTTGAAGCTGAGAGGGAGTTGACTGACCGGAGAAGCAGGTGTCAGCGTGAAGAGAGCGATAGCTATCGTGTTCGAAACCCTGTCAGAGCAGTCAGCTTTTATCAGTCGCCATCTCATTCTCATCCATCCAACGCCATAGCTTCTCCATAGAGCCATCAACCCTCCCCTCTACAGCATCCCTGCCCCTGCTATTGCTCATGCATGCTGGCTGCTGCTTGTTCGCCCACCCTAATGATCATGTAACCCATGCTGCTCATCATGCCTTGCCTCGCCATCCGCCCCCACATCCAGTTTGTTCCCCATCCGCTGTGTCTTATGTTGCGGCTATGGAGCACTTTGGTGTGCCAGGCCATGTCGCACCAATCCATCATTGCCACACTATTAGGTGCAGGTTCTCAAGGTGCACGCTCAAGTGGCGGCTGCTTGAGTGGGTGAGGTGCTGATCTAGCTTGCCAATGGCTATGGCTGGGTACTATGTTGCCTGGTCAGCCTCGTGGCATGTCTGCTGCTGTTCATTTTGAGCCATGTGCAAGTTGCTGCTTCAGGGGACAATTTTATGCTAGGACGGTCTGCTTTCTTTTGTAGGATGTCTAAGGTTGACAATTGATGCCATTGGAATGCATTTTTTTCTAGTTAATTGAAGGGAACATAATCTGACCCTGAGAATACACATGAGACAATTGCGTTGCAGTACAAGTCAGGAAAATTTTCCTGATTAAGGAAAAAATCAGGGTGTTGAGGTGACCAGATCTGATTTGCTAGGGTTTTGTTTTTGGCATTTCCTGAAATTTCAGGGTTTTTTTGTAAGGATATCTGTCAGCTCAGTTTTTTTCTGTAATGGATCCTGAAATTTCAAAACTGTATCGAGCATGGGTTCTGATTTTGTCAAAGGCGTGATTTGCGGGTCCCCCCCAGAATTACAGCGATATGCGCATATTCCTCCATAAATCTGGCCTGACTGTCAGGTTCCCGCCTGCAGGCATCGTTTGGTGACTCACATGTTGCTGCCTCACGGCATTGGTCCTTCTCAAAGTGTGGATTGAAAGTCGGCCAGCACACAGTTTGGCTGCATGCGTGGATTGGTTGCCTTGGTAAATGCTGCCTGAATAGCTAATCACTGACGAAAACGTGTACGCCAGCGATGATGACCCAGCTTCAACACCACACTCCGGTTCGACGCCAACGCGCATGCGCCGCGCTAGTTTCGGTCTAGATTCAGGAAGCCAACTGTGCGTGGCTGGCAAACTGTTCGCGCCTCGCCATCGTTCCCTTTCCCCCCTGCGTCTTCTTCATCTGTTTCTTCCCACAGTAGAAACAGCCACTGCGTTAGCCTCTCCCAGCGTGACCTTCCCCCCGCACTGTCGTTGTTTTACAACCACTCCGTTACGTGTCTCTGCTCGTCGACCACCCTAGTGAGCCCCGTCCACATGCCTGAGTCAGGCGACGTGGAATTGGACGACGATGGCGACGACAGCGGCAGTCACCGTGCCGAAGCCCGCACTGGGCTTGACATGCTCCTTTCGACGCTAGGTAGTTTTCCAAAGAATCCTCGTAACCCTCCGACGGAACAGAATCCCCTATGCGCCTCGCAGTCAGTCGCCTCTACTTCTCAAGGTGTTGTCGAGCCGACTTCCGCGCCTATTCCGGGCCCATCGCTGGCTGATGCTTTTACCTGTAGTCCAGGTTCCGCCACCCCCGTGAAACCTGGCGGCCGATACCAGCAATCCACCCTGTGGAATTTCCCAGGCGGTCGGCCGACGACGCCCCGCCCCTCAGCCATGTGCGAAGATGACGATAGCGATGGCGACGACACAACCGCTGCACCCGACAAGTTTCCATCGCCTGAGGATGTCTACGGCGAAGCCCTCAGCAGGTTTAATACGCGGTGGTCCGAGCGGTTTCCCTAGCTTATGATCGTTCAGACTGACGCTGGATTCCCTGCGTTTAAATGCAGTCTGTGTCTTGAGCATGCAGGACTCAGAGGGAAAGCCGGCAAATGCGGCACAAGGCTGACGGACGCGTAGTCACAGGCATTCAACAGGCACGCGGGGTCGGCTAAGCATCGCCTAGCCGTGACAAAGCAGCAGGCGCTGCTGCAGGACGCAACCAACCAGATGCGGATCGACCAGCTTCCTCAAGCCACAGACCTGGAGAAGGAACGTGTGACTGCGCTGCTTGACGCGCTCTACTTCTGCTGCAAAGGCAACGAGCCGATGGAAAATTGGATCAGGCTCGTGAACTACCTCAGCAAACGTCGGCACGAGCACTTCCCCGAGCAGACCTATGGCACGTACTACAACAGGTATTCTTGTGTGTTGTTTGATTTTGTTTTGCATGCATCTATCATGCATGACGAATGTTCATATTTCAGCATATTAATTATGCGTATGCCCTTGGCTATTGCAGTTATGGGTACGGGGAGTTCACACAGTCCATGGCAACCTGGCTGCAGACAACGCAGTTGGAGCACCTTCTGAGGAGCCCATTCATCGGCTTGAGCATCGATGAGAGCACAGACTGCTGCCGCGGCAAGCACCTCATCGTGTATGCGCACTTCATCCACGAGAACCAAGTCATCTGCGAATACCTGGCCCTGCTGAGCGTCGACAAGGCCGACGCTGCCTCTCTGCTCGCTCTACTCCTGTCTCACATCAACGCCATCAGTGTCGACCTCCGGCGGGTCGTGGGCATAAGCACCGATGGCGCTGCCGTTATGATGGGGTCGAAGGCTGGGCTTGTGACGCAGCTGCAGATGCAGATTCCGCACTTGGTGTCGTGTCACTGTATTGCGCACAGGTGAGCCTTGTTGTTTACCGCTATTGTACCTCGAGTGAAGTGCACTGGTGGTTTCCGCATGTGCAATGTGTATTACCCCACTCCCAAGGCCCAACATGTACCATTTTTTCTTCGTTTTATCCCACCCTCCAGAGAGGCACTAGCAGCTAAAGCAGCGGCGGAATCCTTGCCAGCGTTCAAGATGATTGATGATGTCATCAAGGAACTCGCTGAGTACTTCGGACGCTCCGGCCCATGGCACCAGCGCTTCTTGGACCTGCAGGAAATCTTCACATCGACGAACCTCGAACTTCAAGGCATTCATAACATCCGATGGCTCTCCCGCGGTGAGGCAGTATTAGGTTATTCAAGGTTCTACCCGCCATCGTCGTCATGCTCTCGGAGTGGACGGGCACCCGGCTCTCCAGGATAGTGACAAGCTACCGCTTCTGGTTCCATGTCATGTTCTTTGCTGACGTACTGGAGGAGCTAAACATCCTCAACAAGTCCTTCCAGGAGCGTCAGATGAGTTTTTCTTTACTGTGACATTGAGTCGTTACTAAACCACCCTGGTTCTGTATATATACACCTTCCCCACCCTTCCTCCCCTCCCCTTCTTCCCCGCCCCAACCTCAGCTGGAGTACTCGGCCGTCCATGCGCAGATCATCCGCACAACAACCTTGCTGCAGAGCCGCTACGGGGATGGCGAAGACTTCGGCGGGGGACCGAAAGACCGTCTCTCCATCTTCCTCACCCGTCACGGCCCGGGCGGTTCTCGCGAGGTCACCACAGAGGGCGTCGACTCCGACGGCCGTCCGGCTTCCTTTACCTTCGTGCTGCACGCTTGCCCGGTTATCCGGGGGAGGGCGATCACGACGCATGCCAGGATCTCTGCGTGGCCATGGCGACAGGCATGGTGTTGAACTTGAAGGAGCGGCTGGGTGATCTGGGGAAGCTCTCTGGCTGCCGCCTCTTCTCTGTCAACCTCTGGCCCCCTAACTAGGAGAGAGCTGCACGCAAGGCCCAGTGCCTTGACTGGTTCTTCTCCCTCGTTACACTTAACCGTGCAGATGAGGCAGAGGAGATTCTTCCTGGCATTGAGAAGCGTGCAGCCATGAGAGAGCTGCCTCATTTCTGTCCCGTCATTGCTGCTCTTCCCCAGGCCGACCGAAGCTTTCACTCTGGGCTCACGGCCATGCTGAAGACACCTGACTGGCAGGATTCTTACCCAAACCTGATGAAGCTGTGGATGGCGGTGGCAGTGCTTCCTCTCAGCACTGTGGAGTGCGAGCGTGGATTCTCTAGGCAGAATGTGATTAAGAGCTGGCTGCGTGGCAGCCTTAAAGATACTAGGCTTAGTGACCTCATGTGCATGTCATTGTTAGACTATGACCCGGAATATGATGCTGTGGTGGAGATATGGCGCGCTTACAAGAAGTGTAAGCCCTTCAACAACACCCCTCAGGCCAAGCAAGACGGCTAGAAGAAGGGGAAGGGAGTAGCAGAAAAAGCAGAGGGTGGTGTAGGTAGTAGTGACAATGTAGACGATCTTGATAATTTCGAGTAAAGTTCTTTGCTTCTCAATTTCCTCTTCATTTTGTCAATCAGGAAAAAAATTCCTTTCTCTATCCATTCAGCATTTTTGTCCCACACAATCCTGACCCCTAAGCAAAAAAAATCGGTGACCTCTGAAAATTCAGGGAAAAAACAACGGGTAGTCCTTCGCAATCAGGATGACTCAAAACCAATCTGAGGCCCTAGTATGGAGACTCATACGCGGTCACTAAACGGTTACGTGAGGTTCAATAGAGGCTTGAGAAACACGTCACATATTTTCCCACTGTAATGCTGTCTGGTCTATTGGAGTAAACGTATATTTCAATATGGTCATGTGTTTATGCAGGATGTGTCCTAATGTGAAAAACAGTTGAATAGTGTTATAAATTAATCAGAGTAATAACAGGTAGTGTAATAAAGGAGTTGTAATTCAAGAGTGTCGATACAAATGAGGGCCTAGGCATTTATAGGCACGAACAGAGCTAGCCGAGAACCACGCGAACAGGTTGGGGCGATTCGGTTGGCGAAAGCCACGGAAGCGCTGTGCGTCGAGGTTTGGGTTCGCGAAGTGGTTCGAGACCGAAGAAGTTGGCCGAGGCTGGACTTCCGAGAGTCGAGGGCGTACGCGCTGTATGCCAAGCATATTTGTGTGTGATGTTGTAGACCATAAAGGGTTGTGCCTTAGAGAGTACAGCCCCCTAGGTCATAAATGCCTTGTACTCTCACATTCTAGTCATTCTTTCAGTTTGACATGGTATCATGAGTAGGTTAGGTCCCCTTCGCCCACCAGCGCTTCCGCCATAGGTCCTAGCCGTCTCGCTTACCCCGTCCCGTAGCGGCCCCGCGGCCCCGTCTCCTAGCGGCCACGCGGGCCTATCACCTAGCGGCCCATCAGCCCCGTCAACCAGCGGCCCCGCAGCCCCGTCCCCAAGCGGCCCCTTGGCCCCGTCGACCAGCGGCCCCGCGGCCCCGTCCCCTAGCGGCCCCTCGGCCCCGTCGACCAGCGGCCCCGCGGCCCCTCGGCCTCGTCGACAAGCGGCCTTGCGGCCCCGTCAACTTGCGGCCACACGGCCCTGTCCCCTAGCTGCCCCTCGGCCCTGTCGACCAGCGGCCCCGCGGCCCCGTCCCCTAGCGGCCCCGCGGCCCCATCCCCTAGCGGCCCCTCGGCACCGTCAACCAGCGGTCCCGTGCCCTAGCAGCCCTGCGGCCCCGTCCCTTAGCGGCCACTTGGCCCCGTCGACCCGCGGCCCCATCCCCGTAGCCGGCCCCGTCCCGCAGCCGGCCCGTTCCCCTAGCCGGCCCCGTCTTGCAGCTGGCC